TTCAAATTATCCATACAGGAGAGATATTATTCATATCACATGAATGTAACATAGACAAGGAAAGCTTTTTATGAAGTCAGATCTTCATAATAGAAGATCTGAGATAACATGAGATAATACATATGGGGGGGGAATCTTTTAATATTGAATACGGGGAAAAGTTCTGTCAGAAGTCAATCTTGGCTGTACATTAGACAATTCACTCCAGCTGTAAAGAACATGGGAAGTCTTGGGGTGCCTCAGTGGCTCAGTTGGTTAAACATCTGATTCTTGATTTCGGCTCAGGTCATGATCTCACGGTTTGTGGGTTCGAGCCCCACATCAGGCTCTGTGCTGGCAGCTCAGAGCCTGGAGCCTACTTCAGATTCTGTGCCTCCCTCTCTCTCTGGAGCCTGCTTGGGATTCTCTCTCTCCTTCTCTCTTTCTGCCCCTCCCCTGCTTATGTAATTTCTCTCTCTCTCTCAAAATAAGTAAATGTTAAAAAATTAAAAAAAAAAAAAAAAAGAACATGGTAAATTTTTCTTCCAGAAGGACACCTCTTTCTACATCAAAGAATGGCTGGGGAAAGAAAACCTTCTGTGTAAAGGCAAATCCTTAATTCAGAGAACACACATTAGGAAGAAAGTCTATGAGAATAATGAATGATCTGAGAGTGACTTCAGCAGCAATACCACTGGCTTTATCAGAAAAGTTGCAAAATGGAGAAGCGCTATATATGTAACATGTGGGGAAGACCTTCACCCAGACAGAATCGAGAAAATCACTCACCATTTAGGGGACTGCTAATAGGGAGAAATGCTACCAATGCAAAAAATGTGGGAAATTCTTCTGCCAGAAGACAGAAATCAGTTTAGATTCAAAAATTCATATAGCAATCCAGAGGAAAATATGTAGGGAAGGCATCATGAAGAAGTTACAGGGGCGCCTGGGTGGCTAAGTCAGTTAAGCATCCGACTTCATCTCACGTCATGATCTCACAGTTCATGAGTTCAAGCCCCGCATTGCACTCTGTGCTGACAGCTCAGAGCCTGAAGCCTGCTTCAGATTCTGTGCCTCCCTCCCTCTCTCTCTCTCTCTCTCTCTGCCCCTCCCCCACTCGTGCTCTATCTCTGTCTCTCAAAAATAAATAAATGTTAAAAAAAAAAAGTTACAACTGCGGTGCCTGGGTGGCTCAGTCAGTTGAGCATCTGACTTTTGATTTTGGTTCAGGTCATAGTCTCACGGTTGTGGGATCGACCCCCAAGCCAGGCTCTGAACTGGGCTGGGTGTGGAGCCTGCTTGCGATTCTCTTCCTCTCTCTTTGCCCCTCCCCTGCTCGCTCGTGCCCTCATTCTCTCTCTCTCAACATAAATAAATAAACTCCTTTTAAAAAAGGAAGTTACAATGAATTGAACATTACAGACACAATATTTGAGCATTTTGAGTGTGCAAAAATTTTTACATGAAATTAAAAGGAAATTCCATCAAGTTAGGGAGTTTGTCAAAAACACGTTCTCCTAGCAATAATATTGTTCTAAGAGTCATGGTCCATATGGGGTACTGAACCTTGCATACAAAAAAGGAATCCAGTAAACTCTTTTGTAAATCTACCATTTATAAATAAAAAGATTTGTTCAAAGAAAGAAAAAGCCAAACCGGTCAAAAGGACACAGGAGCCAACTTGAGGAGGCATTCAATGCCCAAGTCTGTGACAAGGTGAAAACTAAAATAATTAATGATAATTAATGGAGTATAAATCATTAAAAAACACGCAATTCATGAGTCTGTGCTGATAATAAACAGATGGATTGATCAAGAAAAAGGGAGGTCTCCTGCTTATAGCCAAGGTTTAACTGAAGCACTAGGATTAGAAAATCCTTATTTTGCAACTGTTATGACAAAAACTGGGTCAGACGAGAGTCATGAACAGTTACCAAATCTAGGGGCAAATTTTGATGAGAAGGAAAATATTTGCAATGTCTTCGATGTGTCTCTCCACACACCGCTTGTTAGTTGCAAGGGAAGAAAAGATAAACAGAATACATTGGAGAAACTGGACGTCTTCCCTAGTGGCAAAAATTAATACCATCTATGAGAGACAGATGGTCACTGTGGGCCTCCAGACGTGGCCCCCAACGAGGGACAGGCCACCTAAATGGTATTCTAGCTCAAAATGCTTAACCCCAACATCAGGCAAACACAAAACAAGGACCATTCTTAAAAATCTAATAGTGAAGGCCTTTGACAAAATTCAGCAACCTTTCTTAATAAAAACCCTCGAGAAAGTCGGGATAGAAGGAACATACTTAAAAATCATAAAAGCCATTTATGAAAAGCCCACAGCTAACATCATCTTCAATGGGGAAAAACTGAGAGCTTTTTCCCTGATATCAGGAACACGACAGGGATGTCCACTCTCACCGCTGTTGTTTAACATAGCGTTGGAAGTTCTAGCATCAGCAATCAGACAACAAAAGGAAATCAAAGGCATCAAAATTGGCAAAGATGAAGTTACGTTTTCACTTTT